TGCGGCCGGCGGCGAGTCTCCGAGGGGCAGGCCGCCGCGGCCCGACCGGCGGCAGATGAAGGATGGCACGAGGCGCGTGGAAGGCGGCCACCGGCTGATAAATGGTAACTAAGCGGTGGCTCGGGCGGAGCCGCGGCGGACGCCGGATGATGAGCCGGGCCCCTTACGGCCGGCGGATGACGTCATGCTCAATGACTGACAGCGCATGACACGGTAATGTCCGAATGCTCCCAGGAAATGCGACTCTTAACAGTCAGGTAGCTGGGAACACGGCGGCACTTTTGGCCTTGCTCCAGTAAGCCGCGACCAGATTACCCCAGCTCTGAAAGAACCCGACCATTCCGACGCCTGGCATTACTGCGTAAACGTATGATCGTTTCCATCAATTTAGAACAGATCCAGCGGGGAGCCTGGTCCCATCAGAGCCTTCGGCGGCGGGATCAGGATCCCCAATCCTGGGATGCAACGGTGATCCAGGCCGTGTTCACCTTCCATACACCGGAGCCACATACACAGCGTATAAATTGATTTTAAGTGACAATGACGTCACTGATGCCCAGCTGGACCAGCATCTCTCTGATCATCGGCTCCGTCAATTCCAGCACGACCCCTGACGTCCTTGATGTCCAGCTGACCCAGCACCGCTCCGTTCACCAGCTACATCATCACAACTAGCACGAACTCTGACGTCACCGATGCCTGGCGCCACACGCGACCTCTGACGTCACTGGTGCCCAGCTGGCCGGGCGCCGCTCCGACCGCCGGCGCCGTCATCACAGCGGGAACGCTGGCTGCTCCACTGCGCAGGCTCGCCATTACCACACAAAGGCTCGAGTGAGCTCCTCAATTACAAGACAATGGCGGCGCACGGTCGCCGAACCGGCGGATCGGCGGGGAGCGCGCCGAGGGGCGGGGGCTGAGATCTTCGGTGCGAAGGTGGGCTCGTGAAGGAACAAGCACTTTAGTAGAATAAATGTTAGGTATCATTTTTGGTGGACGGCGTATGCGTCCAGTAAGTGTTTTTCCATGGCCCTCTAGTTTTAAGGAGGTCTTCGCGTTTGATGTGTTTTATTGGGAGACTCTTTAAATTTCATATCTTTTAATATCACTTCCATGACGTTTCCAAACCATCAAGCTTTGACCTCGCATCACACATCTCTCAACATTCTGATCATCGTGCACTCCTTATCTCATTTTCAGCTGGGGGCGCTCACCTCTGTTTCATGGTTCAAGTCCACCCAGACACGTCCACGCCAGCGTCCATCGCCGCGCAGGTCAAAGCGCATTACACCGTGGCTGATCTGGCAGCCATCCAACGCCATCTCCATCCCACCGCAATCGCCCCCCCCCCCCCCCCCCGATCGTCGGCCCGCAGCCGTCCGCTCTCCGCCAGTCACCTCTCCCTGCAGTTACCCCGGCCCCGCCCGCTCGCATCCGCCGTTGGGTCTCACCAGCTGGGACGGTCACCGGTTTAAGAGTCGACCCAAAGTGTGGTGTCGTAACTGGTGTATACTGACCCTGACTTACACTCATACGGTTGAAACTCGTCCTTGTCTTGATCAACACACGGAGGTCTGAGACCGACAGCCGGACGTCGGAAGCATACCGTCACTGGGCGAGTCCGGGGAATGCGGAGAAATGCTGGAGGTCAGTCCACACCAGGCGAACTGGCCGTTACACACAGCTCGCCCGCGCGTCTCAAAGGGCAATCGGGCGCAGTGTCTCAACGTCAAAGAGCGCTGGGACGCTGCCACCAGACACGTGCCTGGAGCCCCAGAAAGATTCCAGGATCTCATTAGCATGACACCCTATGGGATCCTGGATCCTCCCTTCGGATCCGGGCATATTCCTGGCTGCGACATTCCCACGCAGCTGAGTTCTCCGAAACTTCACGCGCAGCTGACCTCCCAACGCTGGCCATTCCGTGCAGTTCTCGCCAATCCGTTTGCCGCCGCTCTGCACAATCTCGCTTGGCAGTCCTGAAACGCTCATCGCCGCCAGCTAGGTCGACCTTTCGAGGTCCACTGCTGCTGTCCGGCTCGGCCTCCCTGGCGATCAGTCCGTTTAAGCACCCTAAGCGATTGCGATTGCTTTGGGCTGGGAGGGCGGGAAGGGGGGGGGGGGGAAGGGTGCGTACGTCCGAGGCAAGTGAAAAGTGCAGAGACGTGTCTTACCCATTCGCATTCTGCTGGCAGTGTTTCGGAGCCCCGTTTGCTCGCATCCCGAACCCCCTGACCTGGCCCTGTTTTACCAGTCAGACGCGCGGCGTTCGTGGCGCATGGCGCCGCGTCTCGTCGCGAGCAGACAGGAGACAACGATCGGAGACAATCCGCGGCCGGCGGGGGCGGAGACGCGCCCATGGCGCACGCGCGGCGCGGCCACCGGCACACGCGACCGCTGACCCGTGCCGCCCGCCGGACCACGTGACCCAGATCCCCGCGAAAGTCTCGGCCGCCGCCGCCCGACAGGCTGAGCGAGGCGGCCATAAAAGACGGGGCTGACGGGCGGGCGGCCGGCGCGGGCCGCGAGCAGTCGACGCGACGGTGAGGGGGGGGGGGGGCGTGCGAATGGGCCCCCAGGCAATATGTGAATCTCATTGGTTGGCTTCTTGTTACTGTTCCAAATCCAGAAGCACACTTTGATACGCAACAGATGTTTTGAACGTTTCGTTGATTGTCTTGTTCTGCGGTTTGAGTTTGGAGCACATACGGAGCGACGTACATTGCAGCACCTGCAGACGCTCGCAGGAGAGTTACGGACTTCGACAAAGACAACAGCCAACGGGAAGCAAACTTCACACGAAATGTTTTCCTACATTCTCTCTTCCTCGTTGCGAATACAGTCAGCCGCAAGGTAGTCATTAAGTTCACACGCCGTGTTTAAAGTTATTACCCTAGCACGCAAGGTTAACATTTACCCTGTGAGATGTGCAATACAACTCGGTGGAAAACAGTGGCCTCCCGACGACCAAACAATGAAGCAGATAATGACGGAAAGATCTCGCAGAATGAGCAAACCGTGCAGCACAGGCAGAGCTCGTGACAGACCGTAACTCCGGGTTGCGGCTCCTCCTTTTTCTCCTAGCAGCGCCATACTTGGGACAACTCCTTTACAACAACGCTCTTCAATGAAAATAGCTTGTGGACAAAATCCACCCCACAGTGCGCACTCCTCTCACATCACCCCTCACACCAGGAGCCCACCTGGCGACGCGACCCGATGACCCCCCGACCTCCAGGGCGCTGCGAAGCCGCCCTCGCCAGCGCCAAAGGTGCCGCTCTCGCCTCCCCTCCCCGCCTCCCCCCCCCCCCCCCCCCCCCCCGGCAGTCGGCCGATCACACAGCGCGCTCTCAGCAAACCCGGCGCTCGTTCGCCGACCCGACACCGAGGCCTCGCTTTGGAGCTTGTTTGCCCACTGCGCAAGCGTGCCCCAGTTCAGAGTGTACGGCCTACCCGCTCCTGAAGGACGACACAAACTCTATCGGAGACCCGTGAAGCGGACACGCGCTTTCTGGCGCGAACTATGACGCAACGACCCGCCCTGCTTTGCGCCGAGGTGTGAGCGCGGCTGACGACGCGTGCTAAGCCAACCGTGCCACGTAAAGACGCGCCAGCTTACAAAGCGCGTACGTAAGGCGGTGGGTCAATCGAAAACGAGGGTATCGACGCAGCCGCCAGTGCGCGGCAGCTTGAAATTGCTGGCAGTTGGGCAGCTTCCACTGCCGCTTAAAGGGAAGCACTGGAAAAAAGATGGCGGAAACTGAGCGGAAGGAACTGATGTTGGCAATCGCGTCAAAACAGGGTCACCACCCACGAGGTAATGGGCAATTAAAAACGGGATTAACAAAATAATACGGTGAGGGTACTGACAGGTCCCACATCGGTCATTGTTTGCTCGTGTCGCAGACTCGCGTCGCCAGTTCTTCTCATATCGACGGTGACTCTGCTAAATGAATATTATAATGTATTACTGTCCTAGCACGCTAGGAGTAAAGCAGAATGACATGCTACAAACACTCGCAAAACGCAGCTGATGAAAATCACACAAACCGCTGATCTGTTTGCTTTCCCCTTCCGTTCCCTGTATCCCAATTCGTTCCTCCCTCGACCTTTTCCACTGCTTTCAAACAACAGCCACCCAACATATTTGCGCTCGCCTTCCAGGACAGCACGCAGACGGCGGCGGGCTATGCTGAGGCGGCCAAATAGCCGGGCAGAGCAGGGCAGACAACAAAAAGAGCACGTTCGTTCCGAACAGGCGCCAGCGGTTGGCCAGGGCACAAGATGGGCTGTCAGGGTTGTTCCGTCCATTAAAACAGACTCCAGGCACGACCAATGCCAAGGCGCTAAATCCGGTTGTCACGAACAGAACTAGGCCAATACCTAAGTAACGTTTCTGCACCGCAACACGGCTGCCTCGATGTTGCATTAAACATTAAGCTGTGTTTGACGGCAGCCCGGACGGCCCGGGCGGCCCGAAGACACGCGGGAGTGGAGCCTTCGATGGAAATCGATTCGACATCCGTTAAAACCCGACCCGAAACGAGCGGTGCGACAGAAGGTCAGTCTGGGAACACCGGGTCAGGAGTCCCACCATCAGCAGGGACACCATCACCGATCAGCAACACGCGGACCGGGACACCATCACCGATCAGCAACACGCGAACCGGGACACCATCAGGGACGATGGACGACCAACAGCAGGGACAGTGGGCACACGCGTGACCGGTACTGGGGCCGTTTGGGCCCCGACCCCAGCAAGCTCGGGGAACATTCGACCATTTTGGCGTTTTGACCATACAAAATGGCACCAGAATAGAAATGAACTGCAGTAACATTTTAGGCACGGCTACGTCCCTCACAGCAGGAACAGCTGGGACGGCAGGGACAGCGGGGACGACAGGGACAGTGGTGACAGAAGGGACAGCGGGGACGGCAGGGACAGCGGGGACAGCGGGACAGCGGGGACAGCAGGGACAGCAGGGACAGCAGGAACTGACCTATCATGAGCAGCGAGACGGTGAGGTGCTCGCGGCCAGTGGTCTTCAGTGCGCCGAGCACGGTGCCGACGATGGCACAGCAGAGCCCGACGAACGCGATCATGACGATGAACCAGCGGATGGAGACCGACTGGGTGACCACCATGCCGCAGCACGACTTGGGGTCCTCCTCCTCCGTCCGGTACGGCAGCCTGGCGGGAAGAGGAGAATCGCATCAGAACGGCACTTGGTGCAAGGTGCGCATCTATTCAGAGAGCTTCAGTAGTTGATGAAGGCATGCTCCGCGCTTAACATGCACATATGCACAATGTAAACAAGGCCCGTCATATCTCCAGGTCATGCGTCGTAAGTCGAGATTGGTTGGTACAGCCCTCCCTGGGTCCGCTACACCAGTTTTGTGTGGAAAATGAGATTACAAAATTTAGTCAAGCTACGAATGTGTTCAAGAAATGAATGGTATATTTTCATTCCTGCAGGAATATTCAGAACACGTCGGCAGCAAACCGCTGAGATAACGCAGCGAGACCAGTGACGTCACTACACCACCCAATGACGTCACAAGACCGACGCCGGCTTCCCACTGCCGACAGTACGCTGGCTCCTGCTCTCCCCTGCCGCAGGAGCAGCCGCCGTCGAGTGATGGACGATCCTCAGCCCGCCCCGGCGGCGGCGCCTCAAAAGAAACACATCCCGCCGCCGACCGGGCGCCCCCGTTCCCAAGCCACAGATCGCAGGCCGGCCAGACGGCGTCGCGTTGTCATGGCGACAGCTTCCCAACCCGCCGACGGCAGTAATGCCGGGGTGTTTCACGACGTGGGTAAGTGGGATCGTTAGTCGCGCCGCCATCGCAGGACACGCGGGCCGCGCGCGCGATGAAATCAGGCGTGCTTGTTTGGAGTAGAGACGGCGTTCCCGGGGCGGAAGATCTGTCTGCTTCTCTCCGCAGCATACTGTATACCGGATATACTGGATAATTCATATATTGGATAACATATAACGGACAGCATGACAGATAATTCGACAGCACGCAAGGAGTCACTTGTCTACAGCAATGTCCACAGATCGGGAGAAACACGACTGGGTACGGCCGGGCAGCCTGGGTCCGGAGGGCGCACAGGTCAAATATTCCTTTGTGTAACATTTGACATCTGACTCGAAAATACTGCAGCCCACCGAGCTTTGCAAAACAGTCACCACCGCTAATCACGTCTGCCAAAAGGAAGCTTCAAACGTGTTTAGGGGTCGTGTTATGCTGTCAGTTCCTGTGCGCGTGGCGCGAGACGGGCATATGAATGCCATCATGGAGCTGGAAGTGGGCTAACTACTGGTAGCGGGGTGTTTACCAGGTTCGCCCGCGCTGACCTGGTCGCCTCCCGTGCTCACGCCACCCCTGCTTCACACACGATCCGCCGGCCAGCCTTGAGCTGCCGCTATCCGCATGACGTGTCATAAACTACCCTGGAGTCTCCTTAACGCGGAGAACTCGAGCCGCCCTGGTCCACAGGACTGGAATCTCGCCTGCTCCACATGACTGAGAACGCCCCTGGTCCACATGTGTAGTCTCGCCTGGTCCACATGACTGAGAACGCCCCTGGTCCACATACGTGGAGTCTCGCCTGGTCCACATGTGTGGAGTCTCGCCTGCTCCACACGACTGAGACCGCCCCTGGTCCACGTGAGGTGACGGCGCCACCGGCTCACAAATTATCGGACCTCGGCTCCCTCAAAAGCCAAATCGATAGGCCTATTGTCTGGCGGCGGACGCCGGACGCCAGAACCTAATCTGGCCGCCGGGGCCGGCCGGCGAGCCGGCGCGCCGCCGGGATTGCCTCTGCCCACCCTCCTCCTTCTTACAGGAAAAAACGGGGCCGGCACGCAGCCGCCGGCGCTCAGGGCCGGAATCGGTTGGCTGGCTTCGCGAAGTGGATCAGGATAAACAGAAGCAGCCCCGGCGCAGATCATCTGCAAACGCCACCGAAGATTGCCTTGTTTTTGCCGTGTTTATTTTGTTTTTGTCCTTCATCTCCGCAGCGCACGTCATCAACCTCCGCCAATAAAGAACGCCGGTCGCGACAGCCACTGCAGCGTAAGCACCGGCCGAACACAGTGCCGGCCTGACCTGCTGCCAGCCTTGTCCAGCGCGACGCCTCCGCCGCGCGAGGAGGGCGCACCGGGGCCGCCTCGTGCGCGGCCCCGGCGCGCCTCCCGCGCCGCTGGCGCCGGCGCCGGCGATCGGCAGAGCGGAGGAGCGAGCGGCGTCGCTGGTGCGCGCGCCCCGGCGGCGTCATCGCTCAGCCGCCGGCTAATGAACGTCGCAGCCGCGCCAGATACGTAACGACAGGTGACCGCGCCACCAGCGGCGCGGAAGCGGCCAACCAGGCGCGCCGCCAGCACTTCCGAACGGGAGGAGGTCGGAGCGCGCGGACAGACGGCAAGGAACGAGTGTAGTAACCGTGCGACGGAGAAGGGACTACCTCACCCCCTCCCACCACGTCACTACGCCCCAGAGAGGCGCTACACCGCCCCTCCCCCTCCCGCGGACGACGTACCAGGGCTGTGCCAGCTGACGGCAGGTCACTGATTGGTTGGCTGTCGGGGGGAAGGGGAGGTAGGACTCGGGTGATACGACCACGTGGTCCAACAGCGCCCGGGGGCAGCTCAACCCGACGTCGAACCCGACGCCGGGCGTGCTAACCATGCTCCAGACCAGCCGTGACGACACGGCACGTGCCGCGGCCGCTGCAAGTCCGGCATCCGGGTACAACCCGTGACGGCCTCCGGTCGGCGCATGGGGCTTGTGGTTCAGCACGCGGCCGCCGCCTTCACATTTCACACGCATGTCGGCCGGTGTCAGATGCGCCGGCGCCAGCCTGTGACAACTGTGCCGGCTCGTCCTCAGCTGCCAGCGCCTACTTGGTGCTACTGTGCCGTCCACAGACACCTGACGGCGGGACGCCACAAATAGAGATCAGCGGCCTTACCAGTCGATAGCGCCGAGGCCGCTGTGACAACTGTGCCGGCCTGTGCCAGCCTGTGCCGCCCATACCAGCGCTGGACAACTGTGCCAACCGACGCCAAATGTGTTCGCCCCCGCACAGCACGTCTACCGACTGATAGCCGTCGGCAGGGTAGGGTCATGCCAGGTCAGGTCAGGTCAGGTCAGCTCGGGTCAGTTGCCGGATAACTGATGACGCGCCGGCGGAGGCGGCGGCGAGGCCAGATGGCGTGCGCCCGGAACCGCAGCGGAGGCTTCCCGCCCTCTCCCCCGTCCCGCCCGCCCCTCTGCCCTGGCTGATGACTGTGTTTAAGTGGTCATCTGCCCGGGCGTTGGGAGCCCGAGGCTATTCAGATTCAGGCTGTATAAGTGGGTAGGTCTGCTGGTCGCCATTTCGTCATCCTTGATGTTCAGTCCTCGCCTCATCACGCCGAGATGCTCGATCCAGTTGCCCTGTATTTGTATCCTGCTGGTGCTGTGTTCATCCGTTCCTCTTCTGCTCAAAACTTTTGAGATGCAGCATAAAACTTTAAACGCATCATCAAAACATCAAACAACAAAGCCCGTGTCGCATACTCGGTTCACGGCTTGCGCCTCACCGAACGGCGCAGACGGCAACACTGGCATAGTGGGAAGCGTAGTCAAGATATCGCCAGGAAGGCGGGCAAATCAGCGCACATGAGGCCTTCCAGCCGAGGTGCTCCACTTCGTCACTACAGGGGCCTTCCCGTATTTGGCCTCGTGGAAGCATTTCAGATTCCGGATCGCCTCTGAGTGTCTCGAGCAGCCCGTTCTTTTATGTTTCAGAATCCGTACGGCGTCTTCAACCCTCCAAACGGAGCTGGGTCTTCGGCCCTAGGGGCCTGCGCCTCCAGCAGGAGGGATGGGGCATAGCCTCAAACTTTTCCTCCTGGCTATGCCACTCGGCATGGAATCGAGTCCAATCTGCGCTGGAAGTCACATTAGAACAGCCCTTCCAAACTGAAACGAAACACTCCACCGCCGGTGCAGCTGATCAGGTTCGCCGCCGTTCAGCGCCGGCTGCGGTATGTCTCGCCCTGCCTTTGATGCCGCCTCAGAGCAGCCATTTGTGACGCTGGAGCCTCTTACAGTCAACAACCAGACACACGCACACCAGACACGCGCCTCCACCCCAACGACCTCTCCTCCCCTCAGACGCCGAGTCCCCCTCGCGCGACGCCGCGCCACGCCCGGTCGTCGCCGCGCCGTAATTGTATTGCAGCGCCGCGGCGGCGATCGATGGCGCGCCGCGCCGTGTTGGCCGCGCGCTAATGGCCCTGTTTGTTGCCGGGCCGGCCGCGCGAGAGGCCGAGCGCCGGGCACCGCCCGCGGCGCCGTGATTTCAGACCGGCCGCCGGTGTCTGCTGCCCTGCCGCGCGGCGGGACGGCAGCAGCAATGGAGAACCGGCTGTTTATGGGTAAGAATCGGGCCGAAAACGCGACAATTGGTTGACTGCCGGGAGGCGCTTGGCCGGTTGACTTCGGGGGCCACTATGGAGAAGGGGTTACGGAACACAGTTTTTTTTTTTTACAGTTTTACAGCTTTTGCAGCTTTTCGGAAAGAAGGAAACACAGCACCGCTGAGTCAAGAATGTCGCACCAACTTTCTCGGCTGGGAATACAGTACGGCTTGAATTCGTGCCGCGATGCAATGCACTGATAGCAACCGACCTTGGCACTGCGTGACGACAAAAGGCCTGTGCCGGTCCTGGACGTCACGGGACCGAGCCGCAACCGGTGGCAAGCAGCTGACGCAAACGCTTATCGTGAGAAGGCCGCCGTCCACGGCCGCCCGCTCTTGCCCTTCGCGTCGTGACGTTCGAGTTCTGGCGACGTCAAGTTCATCCGGTAGTCTTCAGAACGTCGCTGCCGTCGTTTCCACCGGCGCTGCCGCCCTGACTCATCTCCGAACGTCTGAGCGCGGGCAGCCGCTTGCTAAGGTCCCTGCTCGCTGGACTCTCCGCTCCCTCAGACTCTCTGGACTCTCTGCTCCCTCGGACTCCCTAGACTCTCCTCTCCCTCAGACTCTCTGGACTCTCCGCTCCCTTGGACTTCCTAGACTCTCCGCTCCCTCAGACTCTATGGACTCTCTGCTCCCTCGGACTCCCTAGACTCTCCGCTCCCTCAGACTCCCCAAACTCTGCACTCTCTCAAGATTCCTTGGACTCTCGGCTC